TAGTCCCAGCTACTTGGGAGGCTGAGGCAGGAGAATGGCGTAAACCCGGGAGGCGGAGCTTGCAGTGAGCCGAGATCGCGCCACTGCACTCCAGCCTGGGTGACAGAGCCAGACTCCGTCTCAAAAAAAAAAAAAAAAAACAAAACAGTATATTTTATAATACACCCCTCCCCCATCAAAACCATCATAAAACAATTTCCTTAATGAATTCCTTAATACATTCTATTTGAGTACTAAAATCACAAAAGCAAGCACCAGGATGTGACAATCAGAAACAAGTTTCCTGAGCAGTAACCTGAGACACTGATTATCATGGCAGGCACAACCTGTCACCAAAATCATAGAACTGACTACTTGGTTTTGCAACAGATGTTCAGATGAAAAGGTTTAGGGAAGAAAAGTAAGCAGGTGTAGTAAGTTATCTGCCTCAGAAATTCTGGTTCTTCCAACTTCTTTATGGCACTGCCTGTTTCTAACATGAATTACCAAAGATCTTATTTGGCTTTAGTTTGTTTTTATAAGCCTCGTATGAGCTAGTGACAACTCTTAACCATGTGCCCCAGGGAGCCATGAGGGTCCTGGAGGCCTGCACAAATAAAGCAAATTAATAATCCTTGTGTTTATAAAACACCAAAAAACAGACATTATAATCTTCACTTTGCAAATGAGGAAACCACAGGTTAGAGAAGGTATGTGATTTGCCTATGTTCACAGGGCTCTTAAATAGCCGCAGAACAGACTGGATGCCAGTGTTCTCAAGATCAGGGTACCAAGCTCTCTCTCTGAAATAAGTGACAACCAGGAGAACCACGACCTAGTGGTAAGATCTGGGGGTAGTGTGTCTACCCATTAGACCATTTTCTCTTTTAGGAGAACGACAAATTGCTCCTGAGCTAACTGTAACAAACAATTTTTTTAAAGTATCCTGTATTAGTGTCAACTGGTATTAATTCACTCTTAATGAGGATTAAACTAATGAAAGATAACAAAAAAATAACCAGTAGAAACTATCTTTCTCAAGACTATGTGTTGATAGATGTTAATGCTGGGTGATGGATACATAGGGATTTATTATTCTCTTTATTTCCATATATTCAAATATTTTCACGATTTAATAAAAACTTCCCTTCTGAATACTCAGTTTCTCACGAGACTGTCATATTAATTTTAAAAACATATGTCCAAATTAATGTGAAAAAGGAAAGTTAATTTCTTTCCAGACATATCACCTAGATCAGGTCTACACAAAAAGCAAGATCTCATCTTCCAACTTTGTTAATGTAAGGTGAGTAAAATCGTGAGTGTCCAATATCAAAATTGGCAATAACATTCTTAGACAAATAAGCAGTCCGATTTATTAGTAGAAGCAACCAAACCTTGCAATGACATATGTGCGAATAGTTTTGATTTCTGGAACTGTGACTAGACTTCAAGCTAATACTTCTGAAGCCAAAGTTTGGGCTAGAGAGGATTTATTAATTTGTATTAAAAATGTACTTAGCTGACAAAAAATTATCAGATAGCTAAAAGTTTTATCGACTTATCACGCAATAACAAGCCCCCTCCTTCCTCTAAATCCTAACAATCCTCTTATCTATATAACATTTCTTCAAAATCTCTATTTTTAAAAAATAATTTGCAACAAGATAAAGCAATTATCTTCTGTGGGCATCTGCATACTGTCACAATAGCTAGTTAATTAATATTGGTCAATTAAAAACACACACCAAAACACCTGCTCCGGAAACATTTTTAACAGTGAAAAGTGTGGTGTGGGAAGCTTCCTCCATCACATCTACATATACACACATACACACACATGCTGACACACATCTATTGTAGAAATGCTTGTATTTAAGTGAGCTGAATTGTTACTCAAATGGCTACAAGGCAAATTTAGAATACTCATTAAAATCTTATCAGGTTCCCATCATTCACAAATATCTAAGAGACATACTATAACATGCCAAATTCACATGTATACCTATGTAACAAACCTACACGTTGTGCACAAGTATCCTAGAACTTAAAGTATAATTTTTTTAAAAAGTCAAATTAATGTGCCGATGACACCGCTAAAGATTATGGAAGAAGCTTTTTCAGAGAGCACCTCTAAAAAGCTCAGCCATATCTGAGATTTAAATATTCTCCTAACTCTTAATAAAAAAATTTTCCCAACTTTTAGATTGCCTTTTAAACCACTCAATCCCTTGTAGGATTGAGCAGTTCACCTCTGATTATTCTGAAAAAGGCATTTTTTTTCCCCTAAAAAAGCAAGTCTCACTAACCGCAGAATGTATTATTAAAAAACACCAATTTTTTACTTTTCCAAAAGGATCAACTAACTTTGGAGGGGGCTTTCTAAGGTAACAAGTCTAAACTGGACTCTTTTAGGCAGCCTCTAGAAATATCATATACTGGTTGCACAAACCTCAGGAAATGGGATTTCAATTCAACATGAGAAGCTTTTAAATCTCAGCGCTTTCTAACAATGGAATAGCTCCCTCCAGAGTAGTTAGTTTCCCATTACCACGAACAGTCAAGGACAGTTGCACACAGAGGCAGAATGTGATACATGAAAATGCTTTGGAGGTCAAATGTTTTACTGATTCAACCACTTCCTATGTGATTACGGGCATGTCCAACTAACTTTTAAGCTTCAGTTTTATCATCTGTAAAATGGAAGCTATCATCCAACTTGAAGGGTGAAACTTAGAAATATAGCAAGGACAAGCTTAGCACAGTGTAGAGTCTAGGGGGTAAAAACTCAAATGGTACTTTTTGCTAGTTTTATTACTATGAATATCTGGCAGGAAAGATTTCTGTGACACTGAGGCTGGAATGGACATGACCACTAACATCTCTTTCGACCCCATCATCTTACCACAAAGTTTATCTTCAAAATACCCGGAAGAAAAACTCAAGGGCTCAAACTTACTAGGGGTTTAACTTGATAATTAAGAGCACCTGTTGGCCGGGCACGGTGGCTCACGCCTGTAATCCCAGCACTTTGGGAGGCCGAGGCGGGCGGATCACGAGGTCAGGAGATCGAGACCATCCTAACACAGTGAAACCCCGTCTCTACTAAAAATACAAAAAAAATTAGCCGGGTGTGGTAGCGGGCGCCTGTAGTCCCAGCTACTTGGGAGGCTGAGGTAGGAGAATGGCGTGAACCCGGGAGGCGGAGCTTGCAGTGAGCCGAGATCGCGCCACTGCACTCCAGCCTGGGCAACAAATCGAGACTCCGTCTCAAAAAAAAAAAAAAAAGAAAAGAAAAGAGTACCTGTTTATTGCAGGCTCTCGTTTCCCAGCAGGTGCCTTATTCTATCCACATTCCCTGCTGTTTGGCCCCCTTACCCCATACCTCTACCTCAGAGTTAACATTCAACTTGCCCTCTTGCATTCAGTATCAATAATCACAAAGTGGGTCATGTAACAAAAAGACTCCTAAATTGGAAAAAGAGAGCCCGGGTTTGGTCTCAGGTTCTGCCATTAACTCCCTATATTACCTTAGGCAACTCACATATTTATATTGGTTTTAAAGAAAAAGTACCACTGGTAAACATCTCATTTGATCTTCATAACCTCATGGAAGGTATCAGTAATGCCGCCCTTAACTAACATGATAAGGAAATTTATGGCTCAAGAAGTGGAGTGGCTTTCCCAGAATGGCATAGGAAGTAGCAGGCTCAATATTTTGCCCAGTACCCATCCTCCCCAAACCTATACTCTAAGGTGTTAGAGACAGGACCTTCTGGAAAACAGTGTAAATGTGTTTTCCCCACCTCCTCCTCCATCAGAACCTGGCCTAGTCAAGAGTGAAAGCAACATAATTGTTAGTGTTAGAGGGAAGGAGGCTTCATTTCCCCCTCTTTTCTTATCAAGGAGTACAGAGGCGTTGAAAATGTATACACACCTATAAACTTACATATGCATAAAATGTATTCTGAATATTCAAGAAGCTGACAACCCTGGTTGCCTCCAGACAGAACTGGAGAAAAGGAATGAGAGGTCCCTTTTTATCGTATACCTTTTAAAACTGAAAACCATGTAAGTATGATATACTATCAAAAGACAGCCTTTAGTTTTAAGGTGAATTTTTTAAAGCTTTGAAAGAATACAAATGTTTATAAAAATGCGTTCTGCAACTCCACTTGTTGCTGGGTGACCTTGGGCAAAACACTTCACCTGTCTCACGCCCTGTTTCCTCACTTGTAAAATACAGCCACGAAGAGCATTACCTACAAGGGCTTTTATGAGGGTTAAACAAGATAGTGCACGTAAAGCGTTTAGCACAGTACCCGGCACGCTGTAAGCCTACAGTAAATGTCGGTTACCATTTTCACTCAGCATTAATATTGTTATCTTTGCTTTACTTCAAGCAGCACCCCCCACACACACCTGTTTTCACGGCATACCCACAATTATGGCGCAGCACAGCTCTTTGTACTTCATAAACCACCTCATCACACTTCATCATCTTTCAAACATTTGGTAGCCCTGGGACATCACTGTTAACTCATTTTGCAGCTAAGGAAATGGAGGCAGTAGGAGGCAGTAACTCCGAAACCCTGTTTTCCCATTTCTAAAATCCAGATCCCATCAACCCATTCGTCGCTCCCAGGTCCCTTGCTCTCGGAACCGTGTTCCGCGCGGCACTGACCTGAGCGAGCACCCCGGGGCCCGGGACCTCGAGCCGGGTTCACAGCTACTAGGCACGCTCGGGCCGCCAGAGCCTCGCAGCGGCCGGGTCCGCTCCGCAGCCATGGCGCCTGCAGGGAGACAAAAACAGCCAAGGCGCGGCAGGTCAGCAGAGGCGCGGGCGCCTGAAAGTCCCCTCCCCGACCGGCCCCGCCTCGCATACAGACCTGGACCTGCGGCCGCCGCTCCCGGTCCACAGCCTCACTGGGGAGCGGCTTCCGGTGCTGCCTGCGTCATCTCCGCGCGTCCCTCATCTCCGCGCGTCCCTCAGCTCCGCGGCGCCCGGCGGAAGTGGCTGCACTTCCGGTCCCCGCCCCGAGGTGGGTGGTGGGTGGTAGGAGGGTGGAGGCCAGGAGTAGGGATTGGGAGGAGAGCGTCCCGGGAAGTTGAACGCTCGCCGCGCGGCCCTGGCGGTGCTTAGGCAGGATGCAACCTAGAACAGAGCTTCTTTTCGTACCGTACATCCAGGTTTGCACAGCGCTTTTGTGTCGCTCCTCCAATCCGATCTTGCACCAGCTCTGCAGTAGGCTTTCTTATTATCCTCATTTTCGGAGGAGAGGGAGCTGTGGCTCAGGGAAGTTGAGACGTGTCCAGATTCATACGACCTGTTGGGCCCCTCTTTATCCCGAACACTGTTCTAGGGGATAGGGTTCGTGAACAAAAAACGCAAAAATCCCTGACCGCCGGGGGCTTACATCTATTAGAAGGAGGAAGACAGACTAAGTAAGGCATGTGAAAAGGAGAGAAATAAAGCAAGGTAAGGAGGTTGTTGAATGAAAAAACACAGTCAAGTGATGTAGATTTGAATGAATCACAACATTTACACTCTAGCTATGCCCTGGTTACTTCACCTCTCAGACTTTGCTTCATCTGCATGGAAGTTATAGTCAACTCCCCATCGGTAGGCTCTGAGGATTGAAGGAAATTAAGCATGCAAACCTTTTTGCTTCAAGAACTAAAACTGAGCTAAAAAATTCCACGCACTCTTTCTTAACACTTGTTGTGTACCATCTCACTCAGCTCCCACAACAACCGCACAAGCTGGTAACTATTATTAGGCCCATTTTTAGAGATCGGGAAACTGAAATCAAAAGAGGTTTAGGCATCTTGCCTAAGGTCATAGTAAATGGCTGTCGTTGGATTTCAACCCAAACTGACTTCAGAGCACAAGTTACCCTTTTTTTTTTTTTTTTTTTTTTGAGGCAACGTATCACTCTGTCGCTCAGGCTGGAGTACAGTGACAACGATCTTGGCTCACTGCAGCCTCAACTTCTCCAGGCTCAAGCGATCCTCCCACCTCAGCCTCCTGAGTAGATGGGACCACAGATGCATGTCACCATGCCCAGCTAATTGTGTGTGTGTGTGTGTGTGTGTGTTTGTGTGTATTTTTGTAGAGGCAGGGTTTTGCTGTGTTGCCCGGGCTGGTCTTGTACTTCTAGGCTTAAGTGATCCACCTGCCTGGGCCTCCCAAAAAGTGCTCGGATTACAGGGGTGAACCATGATGCCCAGCACACAAGTTATCCTCGTTTCTCTGTAAGGGTTCCTAAACCATATATGCATACACGCACATTCACATGCATCTTATACCAACACTGTCCAATAGGCCTTTTGCCTATGATGGAGTTGTTCTCTTGGTGCTGTCCAATAAGGCAGTCACTAGCCTCTTGTGGCTACTGAACACTTGAAAAGCACCTGATGTAAATGAACTAAATTCTTAATTTTATTTAATTTTAATAGCCACATGTGGCTAATGGCTACCATGCTTGATAGCACAGTCCAATAATATAACATAAACAATGACAGAGACACATATCCAGTAGACAGTAGAGCATGGCCAAGGTTCCAAGCATCCTGACTTCATCTAGGCTACTTGAAACAAGGGAAATAAAAATTGATTATGTGGGGTGGAAGTCAACTACGGTGTCCTAAAAGTAAGGTCTCAAGAGAGCAAATTTGATTTGCTAAGCAACAGGATGTCACTCTAGACTTCTAAGTCAGAACATGACTGATGACAGCATTATAAGACATTTAGGAAGACATGGATAATACAGATTGGATACTTTCTATGAAAGGGAAGGTAGTAGCAGGGTAATCAAGAAAATCAAGCACCCGTATCTCTGGAGCAAACATTCTCAACCCCAGTACAGTTTGATGAATCAAATTGAAAAGTGCAGATGGAGCTGCCCCAGAGATAATATTGTTTGGACCTCTCATAACAAAGAAACCAAATTGTGCAAATTTAAGCCCAGAGGGGATCCAGGAGCAAAATTCATGACTATAAAACATGTTTTAAATTGCAAAATGGAAGTAATATTTAATGAAATACAAGACCTATTCAATTGTCAATTTCAGTATATGTAAAATTGTTAAATTCAATATATGTAAAATTCCCTTTTTTTTTTTTTTTTTTTTTTTTTTTTTTTTTTTTTTTGAGACGGAGTCTTGCTCTGTTGCCCAGGCTGGAGTGCAGTGGCCGGATCTCAGCTCACTGCAAGCTCCGCCTCCCGGGTTTACGCCATTCTCTTGCCTCAGCCTCCTGAGTAGCTGGGACTAGAGGCGCCCGCCACCTCGCCCGGCTAGTTTTTTTTTGTATTTTTTAGTAGAGACGGGGTTTCACCGTGTTAGCCAGGATGGTCTTGATCTCCTGACCTCGTGATCCGCCGGTCTCGGCCTCCCACAGTGCTGGGATTACAGGCTTGAGCCACCGCGCCCGGCCTAAAATTCCCTTTCATTTGAAATTTTAGGTTAGATTTTTTCCCACCTTGTAAATATTTTCAAGATTGTGTAATGATTGCTGAGAAAACATAGCTTTAAATATATAAGAAGTTATTCCTAGCCAAAGAATTACAAAAGCTGTTGTAAATGGCTATTGGATGTTGAAGGAAAGGATGAAATATAGTCTGATATGAGAACAGAATGCTCAGTATAATTGCTTGTGTGACAGGAACATGAAAATATGCTGAATGTTGTTTATTTTCTTGAAATAAACTTGCTGGTAAAAATGATGTTTGGGATAATTCCTACACATGCATGCTCCAGGAAAGGAGAAAACATCAAATGTTTAGTTTCTTCAATTCCGGCTAAAATGGACTATATGTTGTCTTCCATTTTGAGCTAAACTTGCCTGGGGGAGGTAGTTCAGATGACTTAAAATTGATTTAGTAAAGTGCTTGCATAGCCCATACTAGGGATTCTGAATCTTTCCCAATGAGCCATACACCAGACCTCAGCATATGATGTTTCTTTGGGAGAAAATAACGCACCCACCACAGATGAAAAATATTCCTCTATGTCTAGCACAGTTTTTGCATGTGTATGTACCAGGGAGCAGGCATTACTCCAGCTGTTTAATTTCTTGAGATGCACTCCAAAAATATAGGTTGTATCTACTTGCGCAGCAATGCTGTGGAGAAGTGACCTGGGTAACTGTTCTTTGAACTTCCACACATACTTTACCAGGAACTCAGTATGAAGACATGGGGTCAGTTTCATGAAGTACACAGGGTTGGAAGCATTTGAAGAGGTTTGCTTTTTCTATTCTTTGTTCTGGATTCACTCTAGCTGTAACATGATCAGCACCCACTCTTCTGTGCAGTCAGCAGGTATTCTAGGATCAAAGCTCAGGTTGATTGGCAAGAAACCTTATCCTCTTTACCGCAATTGCTGTTGGACTGGAGTGATCCTGAGATGCGTTTGGGCATAACTTGGCATCTGAACTCAATAATTTCTAAGACCCTGAAATTGCTCACAGGCAACATGCAAGTAAGTTTCTTATAATCTTTAAAGCATTTGATATCTAGTAAAATAGGCTTTGAGGAAGCTGAAACTTTTTCTATGTGTAAATGAGAAAATGGAAAGGAGTTCAGGTTATCATTGCTGGTTTTTTTTGTTGTGTTGTGTTTTTTGACTATTTAAAGAACATAGGGGCCAGGCGCGGTGGCTCACGCCTGTCATCTCAGCTCTTTGGGAGGCCGAGGCAGGCGGATCACCTGAGGTCAGGAGTTCAAGACCACCCTAGCCAATGTGGTGAAACCCCGTCTCTACTAAAAGTACAAACATTACCTGGGAGTGGTCGTGCATGCCTGTAATCCCAGCTACTTGGGAGGCTGAGGCAGGAGAATCTCTTGAACCTGGGAGGTGGAGGTTGCAGTGAGCCAAGATTATGCCACTACACTCTAGCCTGGGCCACAGAGTAAGACTCTGTCTCAAAAATAAAGAGAAAGAAAGAAAGAGCGAGCAAGGGAAGAAGGGAGGGAGGGAGGGTGGGAGGGAGGGAAAGAAGGAAAGGGAAGGAAGGAAGGAAGGGGGGGAAGGAAGGAAGGAAGGAAGGAAGGAAGGAAGGAAGGAAGGAGAGAGAAAAGAAAAGATAGGAGTTGTGATTCTCCAGTGGTTAAAAGTGAGCTTTGGAGCTGGGCACAGTGGCTCTCACCTGTAATCCCAGCACTTTGGAAGGCCGAGGTGGGCGAATCACCTGAGATCAGGAGTTTGAAACCAGCCTGGCCAACATTGCAAAACCCCATCTCTACTAAAAATACCAAAATTAGCTGGGTGTGGTGGCAGACGCCTGAAATCCCAGCTACTCAGGAGGCTGAGGCATGAGAATCGCTTGAACCCAGAAGGCGGAGGTTGCAGTGAGCCAAGATCTGTAGCCTGGGAGAAAGAGCGAGACTCCGTCTCAAAAAAAAAAGAGTGAGCTTTGGAATCTGACCGATTTGAGTTCAAATCATGCCCTATCCTAACCTCTTACCCACTGTGTGATCTTGGGCAAATTACTAAGCTACTCAGATGCTCAGCTTAATTATGAAAATAACCTATCTGAAAGGGATATTACCAGGGCTAAATGAGTTAAGACACATAAAATGCTTATCACAATGCCTGGCACAAAAGCAAGTGCATAATAGGAGGTAACAATTATTATGGGAGGCTCTATTGATTGAAGATCCAATGAAAAGGGATTTAATTCATTTAATATTCCCTGGCTCTGTTATATTACAATTCTGCACCTGTCCTTTCAAACAGAAAGTTTTCGTCTGCATTGATGAGGTAGAGTAAGCTTGGCCTAGATCTATCTTACATCTCTGAAGAGGTGCTATGCAGATAGCAGTAATCTGTCCATATCGATGGAAATGTGAGATAGATTAGGAGATGTTGTCTTTATTTATTTATATTTTTTTTGAGATGGAGTCTCGCTCTGTCGCCCGGGCTGGAGTGCAGTGGCCGGATCTCAGCTCACTGCAAGCTCCGCCTCCCAGGTTTACGCCATTCTCCTGCCTCAGCCTCCTGAGTAGCTGGGACTACAGGCGCCCGCCACCTCGCCTGACTAGTTTTTTGTATTTTTTTTTTTTTTCAGTAGAGACGGGGTTTCACCAGGTTAGCCAGGATGGTCTTGATCTCCTGACCTCGTGATCCGCCTGTCTTGGCCTCCCAAAGTGCTGGGATTACAGGCTTGAGCCACCGCGCCCGGCCAGGAGACATTGTCAAAACAAACTCAGTATTAGATTGAATTGGAAAGTCATACTAGAAGAATGTAAATATTTGATAGTAGCCAGGATGCCATGGCTAACAAAAGCAGCCACTTCATGGAAAAATAGCCCCTGACTTTTGTAATTAGAGAAGAAATGGATCCAGGTGCTCCCATTCAAGAAAGAACATCATGTATTTTCCTACAGGTTTTTATCACAATGATACCACTTGTTAAGTTATATCCATGTGTCTGTGTCCAATTCTTGGTAATCACAATGTCCAAGACAGTGCCTTGTATATAGTAAGTAAGCAAGCTTTTATCCAAACAAGCAAGAAAACAACCAACTAACACTTTACTCAGTGTTCACTTTGTGCCAAATGCTGGAATCAGCAGCACTGGAGAAGACAGAGACACGATGCCTGCTGTCCAGGAGACCATGATCTAGTGGAAGAAATAGATAATAACAATATATCACAATAAACACTTAAAGTAGAGTGTACTGCTAAATGCTGTGAGAGGTCCGTATAGGGCTCAGTGAGGGCAAAAACAGGAATAGAGATGAAGCCTGAATGAACACTTGTCCTTTTCTTTTTTAGGTGACTTTCTGCAGACTTCGGACTCACCAGTGGTGTTTCATTCTTTTTAATGTCATCCTATTTCATGCCTTGCTTTTTGGGGCTGACTTTGTGGAGGAATACTTTCTGCATTCTTTGCCTTATATAGATATGAAAGTTCTTGAAATTAAGAATAAGGCAAGAAAATTGAACATGGAACCCCTAAGAAGTAATCTCTCCAAATATTATGTCCTGAGCCAGTCGGAAGTATGTAAAGGGAAGAACATTTTTCTGCTGTCTCTTGTCTTCAGTAGCCCAGGAAATGGAACAAGACGGGACCTCATTAGGAAAACTTGGGGCAATGTGACCAGTGTCCAAGGGCATCCCATTCTCACACTGTTTGCTTTGGGAATGCCTGTTTCAGTGACTACCCAGAAAGAGATCAACAAAGAGTCCCGTAAGAATAATGATATAATTGAAGGAATCTTCTTGGACAGTTCTGAGAACCAAACCCTGAAGATCATTGCAATGATACAGTGGGCTGTGGCTTTCTGCCCTAATGCCCTGTTCATTCTCAAGGTAGATGAGGAGATGTTTGTCAATCTACCAAGCTTGGTAGACTATCTTCTCAATCTGAAAGAACACCTAGAAGATATCTATATAGGAAGAGTTATTCATCAGGTTACACCCAATAGAGATCCTCAGAACAGAGACTTTGTCCCTCTTAGTGAGTACCCAGAAAAATACTACCCAGATTACTGCAGTGGCGAGGCCTTTATAATGTCCCAAGATGTGGCTCGAATGATGTATGTGGTTTTCAGAGAAGTACCCATGATGGTGCCAGCTGATGTGTTTGTAGGAATTTGTGCTAAGTCCGTTGGCCTTATACCCATCCACAGCTCAAGGTTTTCTGGGAAAAGGCACATTAGATACAACAGATGTTGCTATAAGTTCATTTTTACATCCTCAGAAATTGCGGATCCTGGAACGCCCCTGGCATGGAAGGAAATTAATGATGGAAAAGAATGTACACTGTTTGAGACATACTATGGGCTCGTTTCCTGCAAACTTCTGACGTACCTTGACAGCTTTAAACGTTTTCACATGAAGACCATAAAAAACAATCCCACGTATTTTGGTGATTAGGATTTCTTTAATTTTCCTTACGAGTCAATTATTTTAAAGTTACCTTCTACCCTGTTATGGAAAGCATCCCTTCTTTCTGTGTTTTATGTAGGTTCTCTGAATCTTTAATTTTACTTGCAAAGGTACAAAATGTTTTCTGTGCTCTGGTGTACTCAATTACTGAGATCTCATTTTAAGAAATTTAAGTTGGTGTAGCATGATTCTTTTCAAAATAAAATATTTCTTTCAGAAGAGAAAACATTATGTTTCATTGTTTGTTTTGTTTTTTGGGTTTTTTTGTTTTGTTTTTTTGAGACAGGATCTGGCTCTGTCGCCCAGGCTGGAGTCAATGGCGCAACATCGGCTTACTGCAACCTCTACCGCCTGGGCTCAAGGGTTCCTCCCACCTCAGCCTTTTGAGTAGTTGAGACTATAGGCGTGAGCCACCATGCCCGGCTAATCTTTTTTGTTTGTTTGTTTTTTGAGACAAGAGTCTCACTGTGTCACCCAGGCTGAAGTGCAGTGGCACCATCTTAGCTCACTACAACCTCCGACTCCCGATTCAAGCAGTTCTGCCTCAGCCTCCCAAGTAGCTGGGATTACAGGTGCCTGCCACCACGCCTGGCTAATTTTTTGTATTTTTAGTAGAGACAGGGTTTCACCATGTTGGCCAGGCTGGTCTCGAACTCCTGGCCTCAAGTGATCCACCCACTTCAGTCTCCCAAAGTGTTGGGATTACAGGTGTGGGGAACCACACCTGGCCAATATACAATTTATTATAACTAAGGTTTTTTTTATAAACTGACAAAAATTATGTATATTTATGTTGTACAACATGTTTTGATATATGTATATGCTATTGAATGGCTAAATCAAGCTATTTAACATATGCATCACTTGACATATTTTTTTTGTAGTGAGTGTCCGGAGCTGCACGCCCCGGCCATAGCGAATAATAATTAAAGATTAACGCCTGAGCTATATTCATTTCCACCCCACCTTCTCCTGATTTACCTTCTTCCCTGTATTAATCCGCATTAAGATGGTGCTCTTCCTGCTTTTCTTCATTCATTTTTCCCCCGCGAAAGACTACTGACAGCGCAGGTGCAACATGACGTCCAACCGGAGAACCGAAGCCTATCTGGCACCTTCGCAATGAGGTCATTTCACCTTAGCCCACCCTTCCCTCCAATGATATAAGGCATTACGCATTAACGAACTTGATCAGAGCATGTTTGTCTCATTTCTGTGTCTTTGTTCCAAATCCACCCTCTCCAGGGCTACGCTACTATCCCGCGGCGGATAGTGAGAACATTAAATCTAGCAATTATCAAATATTCATATATTGTTGTTAACTGTCATGACCATGATGTCATGACAGATCTCTTGAACTTACTCCTCATGTCTGACAAAAATATTGGCTCTCTTGGCCATATCTGCCAAGTTTTCCCAACCCCCAGCCTCTGGTAACCTCCATTTTCTCTCTGTTTCTATGAATTTGAGTTTTTTTACACCCCACATATAAGTGAGCTCATGCCCTTATTTGTCCTTCAATGCCTGATTTATTTCACTTAACATAATGCACTCCAGGGTCATCCAAATTGTTGGAAATGACAGGATTTCTTTCATTTATAAGGCTGAATAGCATTTTATTGTGGATATATACCACATTTTCTTGATTTATTCATGCACTGGTGGACACTTAGATAGATGCCACTAATCTTGTGAATAATGCTGCATTGAATATGGGGAGTGCAGATATCTCTTTGACATACTGATTTAATATCTTTTAGATATACATCCAGTAGCGGAATTGCTAGATTTTATGGTAGTTCTATTTTTATTTTTGTGAGGTACTTCCATAATGGCTGTATTATTGGTTTACCATAATGGCTCATTGTGGTTTTACTTTGCATTTCCCTGATGATTAGTGGTATTGAGCTTTTTTTTTTTTTTTCCACATACCTGTTGGCCATTTGTACTTCTTCTTTTGAGAAATGTCTATTTAGGGCCTTTGGTCATTTCTAAATCGGGTTATTTGGGCAGGGCACGGTGGCTCATGGCTGTTATCCCAGCACTTTGGGAGGCCAAGGCGGGTGGATCACCTGAGATAGTTCAAGACCAGCCTGGCCAACAGGGTGAAACCCCGTCTCTACTAAACATACAAAAAATTAGCTGGACATGGTGGTACGTGCCTGTAATCCCAGCTACTGTGGAGGTTGACACAGGAGAATCGCTTGAAACCAAGAGGTGGAGGTTGCAGTGAGCTGAGATCATGCCACTGCACTCCAGCCTGGGCAACAGTCTGAGACTCCATCTCAAAAAAAAAAATAAAAATAAAATAAATAAATAAATCAAGTGATTTGTTTTCATGCTATTGTGTTGTTTGAGTCCCTTATCTGTTTGTTCCCCAGAACAGATATATGGCTTGCAAATATTTTCTCCCATTCCATAGGTTATCTCTTCACTGATTGCTGCTTTTGATATGCACAAGCTTTATAGTTTGATATAATCTCATTTGTCTATTTTAGCTTTTGTTGCCTATACTTAAGGGGTCATAGCCAAGAAAATCTTCGCTCAGACCAATGTCATGGAGCTTCCTCCACCTATGTTTTCTTCTAGTAGTTGTACAGGTCTTACATTTAAGGTCTTATATTTAAGTCTTTAATCCATTGTGAGTTGATTTTTGTATATAGTATGAGATGAGGGTATACTTTTATTATTCTGCAAGTAGATATCCAGTTTTCCCAGAACCACTCATTGTAAAGACTGTCTTTTTCCCAGTGAGTGTTCTTGGCATCTTTATCAAAAATCAATTGACTATCAATGCATGAATTTGTTTCTGGGCTCTCTGTTATGTTCCATTGGCCTATGTGTCTATTTTTATAGTGTACAAGCTGTTTAAATTACTGTAGTTTTGTAACAGATGATCAAATCCAGTAGTATGATGCCTTCAGCTTTGCTATTTTTGCTCAAGAGTGTTTTGGCTTTTCAAAGTCTTTTGTATTTTCATATGAATCTTAGGATTGTTTTTTCTATTTCTGTGGAAAGTATCATTGGAGTTTTACTAGAATTTGAATTGAATCTGTATATGGTTTCAGGTAGCAGGGACATTTTAACATTAGTCCTTCCAATCCATGAACGTGGCATATCTTTTCTCTAATTTGTGTCATCTTCAATTTCTTTCATCAACGTTTAATAGTTTTTATTACACAGATTTTTTTACCTCCTTGTTTAAATTTACTCCTAAGTATTTTGGGATTTTTTCTGATGCTATTATAAAAAGGATAGTTTTCTTCTTTTCTTTTTCAGATAGTACATTGTTAGTATATGAAAATGCTACTGATTTTCATAAGTTGATTTTTTTCCCTGCAACTTTACTGAATTTGGTTATCAGTTCTAACAATTTTTGTTTTTTTTTTGTTTTGTTTTTTTTGAGATGGAGTCTCGCTGTGTTGCCCAGGCTGGAGTGCAGTGGCACAATCTCGGCTCACTGCAACCTCCGCCTCCCAGATTCAAGCAATTCTCCTGTTTCAGCCTCCCGAGTAGCTGGGGCTACAGGCACCAGCCACCATGCCTGGCTAATTTTTGTATTTTTAGTAGAGACGGGGTTTCACCATATTGATCAGGCTGATCTCAAACTCCTGACCTCAGGTGATCCACCCACCTCGGCCTCCCAAAGTGCTGGGATTCCAGGCGTAAACCACCATGCCCAGTGCAGTTCTAACAGTTTTTGATGGAGTCTTTAGGGTTTTCTCTTATAAGGTCATATTGTCAGTAAACAGTGACAGTTTCACTTCTTCCTTTCCTATTTGGAAACATATATTTTTAAAATTTTTATATTTTATATATATACATATATTTGAGACAGGATCTCGCTCTTTGCCCAGGCTGGAGCGCAATGGCATGAACACAGCTCACCGCATCCTTGACCTCCCAAGCTCAATAGATCCTCTTGCCTCAGCCCCCCGAGTAGCTGAGAATACAGGTGTGCACCAACTCACCCAGACAACTTTTGTATTTTTTATAGAGATGAGATCTTGCCATGTTGCCCAGGCTGGTCTCAAACTCCTGGCCTCAAGTGATCCTCCTGCCTCAGCCTCCCAAAGTGTTGGGATTACAGGTGTGAGCTACCACACCTGGCCTATTTGGATAATTTTATTTCTTTTTCTTTTTTTTGAGATGGAGTCTCACTCTGTCACCCAGGCTGGAGTGTAGTGGCATGATCTCAGCTCACCGCAGTCTCCGCCTCCCGGGTTCAAGGGATTCTCCTACCTCAGCCTCCTGAGTAGTTGGGATTACAGGCACCCAGCACCACCCCCGGCTGATTTTTGTATTTTTAGTAGAGACAAGATTTCACTATGTTGGCCAGGCTGGTCTCGAACTCCTGCCCTCAGGTGATCCACCTGCCTTGGCCTCCCAAAGTGCTGGGATTACAGGCATTGGCCACCGCACCCAGCCAATTTTATTTCTTTTTCTTGTCTATTTGCTCAGGCTAGGACTTCCAATACTATATTGAACAGAAGTGGTGAGAGTGGGCATCCTTGTCTTGTTCCTGATTTTAGAGGAGAAGCTTTTAACTTTCTTTTCTGTTGAGAATGATGTTAGCTATGTGTTTGTCATGTGTGGCCTTTATTGTGTGGAGGTACATTCTTTCAATACTTTAATTTTGAAAGTTTTTATCAGGAAAAAATGTTGAATTTTACCATATGCCTTTTTTGCATCTATTGAGATGCTCATATAATTTTTCCCCTTCATTCCGTTAATGTAGTGCATCATCTTTCTAGATTTGTGTATGTTGAGCTATCCTTGCATCCCTGGGATAAATCCCACTTGATTATGATGAATAATCCCTTTCATGTGCTGTTAAATTTACTTTGCTAGTATTTTATTGAGGATTTTTGTACCTATGTTTATCAGGGATATTGGCTGGGATCTTGTTTATTTGTGGCTTGTAATTTTCTTTTCATGTAGTCTCTTTGTCTGGCTTTGCTATCAGGGTAATGCTGACCTCACAAAATGAGTTTGAAAGTATTCCCTCTTCTGTTTTCGGGGGAGAGTTTGAGAAGGATTGGTATTAGTTCTTCTTTAAATGTTTGGTAGATGACTTCAGCAGTGAAACCATCAGATTCCGGGCTTTTCGTTGATGGGAGATTTTTTATTGCTGATTCAATCTCTTTACTCTGTGCTGGTTGGTTCAGATTTTCCATTTCCTCATGATTTAGGATTGATAAGTTGTATGTGTCCAGGAATGTATAC